CACCTGGGAACCCCCAGTGCCAGCAGGGACTGGAGATGGCAGCCCTGGGCTCCTGGAGGTTGTGCAGGGAACAGAGGTGAGGACTCCCTGTCTATGTGGAGCTTCCAGATGGAAAAGGCTGCTGTGAGCAGGCAGCTCCAAGGGCAGGGAAAGGAGGGGCTGGAGCCCCTGATCTGCCAGTCCCATAGTCCTGGGCAGCAGCCACTGAGCACAGGGGGAACAGAGGGCACAGCAAGAGGGACAAAACCAGTCAAGGTCAGAGACTGGGAAGAGCCAGAGCTGGGAGCAGGAACAGCTGCTTCACTGCACCCTTGGAGAAAGCTCTTGGCTGCTTCAAAGTGCTGAAAGGTGTGAAGGGCAGAGAGGAGAGCACACCAAACAATGCTCCTGTTCTCACAGCCTCCCCTCTCAGTGTCCCAGAAGGAATTGGATTAACTGTGTTCTCTCTGAGCCACCTTGTTCAGCATGAGCAGCTCAGCACCAGGAGCTAAAGGAGCTGAAGCCTTAGGCCACAAGAGCTGACCAAGAGGGGACTTTTGACCAAAGTAATGCTGCTAACATGGACCTACCTGAATGCAGCAGATGGAATCCTGGAATTATAGAATCCTTTGTGTTGAAAAGACCTCTAAGCACATCAAGTTCAGCTGTTCACCCAGCACTGTCAAGCACAGCACTAAACCCAGTCCCTGAAGTGCCAAGGCCTGGACAACAGGCCCTGAGCCAAAGGTGACCTCTGGATGAACCTTCCAATCAAAGGTTATCTTTGTATTAGCAAAATATACGTGGTCATTAGTGCTGTGATAGATGTATTCACTCATTAGTGAAACATGGATTGACCTTTCTGCATTTAGAAACCAGACGAGGCCATGAAATCTGACATCTGGCCTTGTTTGGGGCTGTATGGTCAAAGTCACCTCCCTTGGTTCCTCCTCGAGCCCTGGCCAGGCTTTGGGAGGAGCCCAAGAAGAGAATGAAAGCAGCTGTTCCTGCACTAGAAGTGCTGTCAGTTTGTTTATTCAGCACTATCAGAGCTGGGCCCTCTCACAGCGAGGTTGAAAGCCTCACCTGTGGCTGGAGGCACCTGCAGGAATTCCCAGTGTCCAGGAGTGGCTCTGCAGTCCTTGGCTGTGACAGCTTCCCCAGCTGATGTGTGCACCTGGGTGATGGCAAAGTCTGAGGGTGACTGGTGCTGTCTCTTAATCCCTGCAGGCAATCTTTGGTGGTGATGGTTGGATGCATTGCTGAGCTTCTCCTTTTGTGATTCTTTGCTACTTTGAACTACAGTAAATGACACTGATTGCTGAACTTGGTGTCTGTGTCTCTGCTGCTGCCCCTGCCCACTGGTAAAACAAAGTTGGTGTAGTCTGGCTAGATCACCACAAAATGTTGCTTTTTAAATGTAAATGTAAGGAATTAGTATTGTCTGGAATTCCCAGGTGTAGGGAAAACCTTCCCTAGAGTTTGCTGGCTCTGGAGTGGGCTGAGGTTGGAGCACTGTGTGAGCAATGGGGAAGGCAGCTGAAAGAAGCTGAACCACTGGATGTATTAAAATGCATCCAAAAGTTGCACTTGGAA